TAGTTTGAGTTAACATCTCATTCTATGTAAGGCAGGGCTTTGGATTAAAAAGTTGACAGTTTGGAGAGCTTCGTCTTATCTAGTCTCTAATCAGATTCACCATTCGCTGCCTCAGTTTCTCCTTTGCAAAGTGGTAACCAGAGGCCTCATACTTCCTGTAACTCTGAAGATCCTCAACCTTTCAGGAACGCTTAAGGAAAAACGTGTTGGGTGATGTGGATGCTAAGCTGTGAGGCTAGTCCCCCTTCCTCACTTCAAGAACGGAATCTTGACTTTTCTTCCCTGTTCTTTCTTCATGCTCTCTCCTTCCTACTTTGCCCCCTAATCCGCAGTCCAAGGCACTAATTTACCAAGTCTTATCCTTCTGAGAGAGATGGTGCTTTTTGCCCTTAGTAATCCTGGCCATAGCCACAGCCACCCTGAGCTGTCTTCAACTCAAGGCGTTGTCTGCTTCAGCCCAGCAGATAAAGCAATCTATAGGATTACAAAACGTCAGAGCCATAAAAGATCACAAGGCGGGTCTAGTTTCCTCTTCCATTTCCTGCATTACAGGAAAGAAGTGATTTGACCAATGTCACTGGGTGGGAGGCAGAGCTGGAACGAGGGGCAGTGCTAGGATGCCATGTGGAAATGATCAACTGTGGTGTCCTTCCTGCATCCACCACTTCTGAGCTCTGTAACCTTGGGCAAGTTATTAGGTCACTGGGAAAGTTACGATGTGTTTTTCTATGCAAAAATGTGTCATGACTTTCCCAACGATGCAGTAATATCCCTACGTCTCAGTTTTCTTATCTGTAAAATGGGAATACCTATTTCATAGGATTGTTGTAAATGAGGTGTTGTATGAAAGAGGCTTTGAAAATAAGTCCTCAAGAATTTTTAGTCATTATCATGATAACAAAGTTCGTTCATTTGTTTTTTGCCCGTGTGTGTGTACTTGCCATAGAGCCAGAGAGAGAGAGCACCTCCCAGTGGGGCATGGTCAAACCACAGCCCCTTCTCCTTTTTTTCTCCATCTTGGCAGGATGTGGGGAACACACTGTATGAGCCTTCTGTGTTTTTTAAGCAGCTGGGGTAGGGATTCAAACTGCAGTTGAGCATGGGGGACCCAGCTCCCCTAATCACTAGGCCACAGGGTCAGCCTTCAAAAGGTTTTGGCAGTAACACTGACTCCTAGTCAGAGACGGAGTTCTGTCAGTCTGATGCATGAGTTGGAAAACAACCCTCTCGGACAAAGTCCATTTTAATTGTGAATGGTGGCTTTGCCAGTAGCCGACAGAGATCCCTCTTCGAATGGAGACGGCAAGTAGATTTGCATTAGGGACACCACCATATTAACCTATTCCTCTGGTGGCCCCTTGCGCAGTAGAGTATGTGTGAAAGTGGAACACGCTGCCTGTGGTCGGAGACAGAAATGTACCCACGGCGCCAAAGAAAATGAACAACGTGGCACCACCTCAGCATCCCGATCTGAGGCGAGGGATGTGCAAGCCTTAGAGAGAGATTAGCTCAGAGGAGGCCCCTTTTCCTTTTAGCAGACCTCTTGCTAACTTTAGTCATCCCGCCCAATTTTTTTTTCTCTTACATGTCTTTCTGAAATTTTTCTTGGAATTAAAAACACCAGAATATTGTGGACAGTGGGTCTGGGAGGAGCGACAAAATTAGACAAAAAATAACATAAATTTTAGAACTTTAAGAAACATTAATTTCTTAAGGCTTAAGTCTTGGTTATATAAAGAAAGAAATCCTGGGGCCAGCAGGCGGTGCGGTGGTTAAAGCACTGGACTCTCCTGTAGTTGATTGTGGTTTGAGTCCTGAACCTGGTGGCTTGAGTGGCTTGAAAATTACACCAGGTGAGTGTGTGTGCTCAGAATCCCAAGAGAATGGTGGAGGAGGACCTGTGGCATGGCCATGCACCCTGGAGGGCGATTGCTCACTTTCCCTCTTTGTCTCTCTGGAGAGTGCATGCGCTGTATGGCATAAAAAGAAAGAAAGAAAGAAAAAGAAGAAATCCCAGTAAGTCATATATATTTTAGAGTAAGCTAGCTTTAGTTGATTTCAATTCAGGCATCACTGGGGAGTTGACCTGTTAGAGAACAATGCCTGCCTCCTAGCACACTTGGCTTAAAGACAACCCCCAAGATAGCACGTCTGCATGGTGGCAAAGAAGTCGGGGCCCTACGGATCAGAAACATAAACTCTCACAGAACCCAATGGGAAACCCCCAAATTCCTCATTTGAGTAGATTCTGCCAAGCCTTTTTCTTCTTTTATTAGGTTTGGGAAACATTTCTGACTGCTTAAGACAAATTTACTTTGTTTATCCAAAGAAGTATTCTAAAGGGCGGACTGGCCTAGCGTCTCCACTTGTCTAAGGTGCCCTCAGCTGAGTGAGGGTGGGACTGTGTGTGTGGCCACAGATGTAAAGACCACATGGGCGCTGGGCTGCGCATTTCAAATCACGACCCCTCTCCTTTTTTTCTCCATCTTGTCAGGATTTGGGGAACACACTGTATAAGCCCTGAATGGAGACTATCAACTGAGTTCTGCTTTCCTTCTCCCCTTCTTTAATGAAATCAACTTTATGAACTACCAAATAAAACACTACTAAACTTGCCTTTCCCCACAAAAGTAATAGTACTTGATGATTAAGTGAACTAAAGTAGTGAATTATTTCTTGCTCAATAAGTACAATGCTTTTACTTCGAATAAAAAAGTTAGTTTTTCCTATCTTTATAACTTGAGGAGAAGGATTTATTTTTCTCTTTATCTATTTTTTTTTTTTTTTTTTTTGATTTGTGCTTGCTGGAGAGTGAGAGCAAGACAGAGAAACAGAGAAAAGCACAATGAGAAATCACCCTCCAGGGTGGATGGCCACTCTACAGTTCCTTTGCCTCCATTCTCCTCTCAGGATTTTGTGCGTGCACCCGCAAGTGCCTGGCGAAACTGCACAGTTGGCCCTGTGGAATCCAGCTGCCTTAGCCACCACGTCCAGCTGGCCTCGAGATTTCCTATTTTTATCCTAATGTGACTCTGAATGTATATTTAGGAAAACCTCAAGTTGTAGTTGCTTTTCGTTCACTCTCTGTAACTGGTCGAGGTATATCCTACGCCTTAATCCACCTGGTTGTTGTTTAGTTCTGGCTAAATTCACTTGCTGCCCGTTCCAACAGATAAGCCTGCAAGTGGCCACATGTGTGTAGAATGGATGTTTCAACTTGTAGGAAAGACTTGGGAATACCCCAATACCCTAGCGTGAATGAAGTGGGCATGAGAGTCTTACTCTCATTTTACCAAAAAAAGGGGAGGGGAGCCCTTTTACCCTTTTCTGTTGCTTACAACTAAGTACCACACTGCATCATTTATATTGAATAGAGGTTTATTTAGCTCATGGTTTTGGAGGTCCAAAGTCAAGGGGCTGCCTCTGGTGAGGGTCTTTTTATTGGTGGCAACTCTCTGCAGAGTCCTAAGAGCGTTACATGGCAAGGGCTTGTGTGTGTGCATGACTATGCTCATGTCTCTGTCTCATTCTCACCAGGATCCAAGCATGGGGCCCTACCTTGATGACCTTGTCTAATTCTAATCTCCTCCCAAAGGCCCCACCTTTTTTTTTTTTAAGAGGTTTTTGCTATAGGGGGCGTGTGCTCGCCAGACAGAGAGAGACAGAGAGACAAAAAGTGAGAAATCACCCCCCAGGGGGGATGGCCACTCTGCAATTCCTTCTCCTCCATTCTCCTCTCGAGATCTTGGGCACACATGCACATGCGCCCGGCATGAGTTTTAAGCCACCGGGTCCGGGACGCGAACCACAGTCCACTATGTGGTAGTCCAGCGACATAGCCATTGTGCTAACTGCTGGTCCCAAGGCCCCACCTTTTAACACTGCAGTTGGATTAAGTTTTCACCCTCTTAATTCTGTCACAACCAAATTTCAACGCATAAATTTTGTGGGGGATGCATTCAAACCAGAACGACTGGTATAAATTTATTTGCCTCAGAGACTACAGTGGGATGTGGAGGACAAATAGCCCTTTTCTGTGTGACCACCATCAAACCCCATATACTCAGGAGTATAGAAATGCCTGTGAACCCTAGACCAGCTGGTGGTGTGGTGGTGAAGGAGGCTGGATTCTGATGTTGTGGTTCAAGTCCTGGACCTGGCAACTTGAAAAACATGCCAGGCACATGTGTGTGCATGCCAAATTCCTGAGAGGAGAATGGAGGAGAAGGGATTGTAGTGTGGCCATCCCCTCTGTGGGCGGATTTCTCACTTTTCTTCTCTGTCTGTCTCTCGGGCATGTGCTCGCCCTATAGCACAACGTTAATACAAAAAAGAAAGAAAAAAAAAGGAACATGCACTCACACATGCATGTCAGGAACCCGAGTCAGGGCCCGGCCCTAGTGAGCCCTTCGTGTGTGCTGTAAGTGGCACAGAGTTAATATGGACAGTCCTGCTGTGCTCACCTGGTAGGCACACTCCATCACAAACACACTGGCTGTCCCGAACAACAGTGCCACTGAATATTTCTTTTTGTTTAATTTGTCCAAAGTTACACATCCATGCTGTCATCTCACCAGTATCTTAGAAGCCCGGTGTTGGCCCATGCTGCTGCAGGACTGGGACAAAGAGATGATGTTACAGTCTGGTTTCTATGGCAACAAAGGAGGAGTAATGAAAACTGAAATGTCGGAAACACCCCTTCTGACAATTGTGACATAATTCAGGTTATTACAAGGACGTAACTACCAAAGAAGCAGAAGTGCCATTACCTTCAGCTCATGTCGACAAAAAGCTGCACTGCACGTTTCTCTTAGCTGGGCTGCTAAGAGGAAGGAAACACACACACACACACACACACACACACACATACACAGGCCTCGTTTTTCTGCATGTAAAATGTGTGTGTTCTTTAAAAGCCAGTGGTTGGCTGGTTTTCCGGACATGATGTGGTTGAAGCTGTCATCGTAATGGAAATTCATTGCTGTAGCTATGGTAAATCGAGTTTTCTGCCTGCGCTGAATGCATTAGTCTAACGAGATGTTTGCAGCCGGAGAGCAGGGCTGCGGGAGACTAACTGTGAGCTCCTAACCCGCGGGTGGAACATAGCTTTTGCAATACTCGGTTTGCATGTGCTGAAAGTCATCTGTCTCCTGAGTCGACTCCTGGCCTGGTAAACAACCTGCTCAGGGCTCTGGTCAACAGGCTGTAGGTAAGGGAGCTGCACAAGCAGATGGCGTGCCATTGACATGGATCCTTCTCTTTCAACCGTCAGCACGACAGGTTGCCTGCTGTAGTTTTTCTGGGTTGCATGCCTACCTCTATGGTAATGCACGAGTGTCCTGCACTAAAACCACTGAGCCTAGCAGGTAAACTTCAGTTCCTTCTATGCAAAAGGCAATGTCTGGTTTCTTAACCAAATCTCAGAAGGGAAGATGTAGCATAGAATTATATACTTTATAAATTGGGGGTATATGAACATACTCATTGCTCTTTAACTATGTTTAAATACATAGAAAGTTTTTTTTCCAAATGTCAACTCAAATCAGTTTTTGTTTTTCTCCACCACAATTTTGTTCTACTTTGTAATGGTTTTTAAAATGAAAATTTATAGTATATCTCTGGATATAATATGTACCTGAAATTTGATTAAGATTAGTGTGTTATGAATGTCTAAACTTTTTTAAAATGAATTTTATTTTGAATACTGAAGACGGAGTATGTCATGTGTCTATTTGCTGGCTTTTCCTGATTTACCAGGTATAGATGAGAGCAGCATTTATTGTTAGTTGCAGGTTTTAATTAGTTTTTTAGGGAGAAAACCAGGTGACTGTGCAGTGTTAGGAGTTTTTCCCAGTTCAAACACAAAGGCACTTCCTTCCCGGGTGGATGGCTATGTGACTTGAACCAGTGTGCAAGGTGACCTGGTCAGGTTCCTGCCGGCCGGGCAGGACCAGTGGAGGAGGTAAGGAGCAGGCTGGGGAGAAGACCTTCCACCCAGAGCTGATGCGCTTGAGTCAAAGTACTTTCCACTTCCCGTGAGAGTAAGCAGCGGTGGGCTATCGTGCAGTCTCAGAGTCTATCCTGGTCCTCGAGAGGGTTTGGCGATCAGTAACTTTCTGAGAAAGTGGCGTTTGAGTTGGTCTCTGACACTGCAGTACTTGTGAAAGTAATCAGGTGCTTTGGAATCGAGACATTGGTTGTGTACTCTGTGTTCTTCCTTTTCGACCACAGAAACTGTTTTTGAAAAGTGAGGCACATAGTTGGTTATTTTCTCGTGACTTTCTTTTTCTTTTTCTTTTTTTCCTTTTAAAATAAAGCAGACTGTCCAGAGTGAAAGCACAAAAACCCCTAAAATAACAATAAAAGGATTCGTAGACTGGTAATGTAAAGTATCTGGGGGGCACGATATTTGGGTGGAGCATTTTTGTGTTGCTTAGAAGCAGGCTGAAAACATGAGGGGGTATTTGGGCAACAGCATCTGGGTGAAGCTGACCGAGGAAAGCAGCCCTGGGGGAGTGCCTAGGCTCAAAGAGAATGTTCACTGGGACCTTCGGTTTTAGGGAAGTTGTTTGGTGGCTTTGAAATCTTGCCCTCTTAAATATATTTGTGACAGATCTGTTTTTAAATATGAACGCATTTTCTTTAAATTGTGTGTGTAGAAGAGCTCTGTATTATTCTGGAAAATTAGCAGTCTGCTTGATTTGTGGAATCGTAAGAAAAGTGCAAATTGCACAAAAACTTAGTTCTTTTGTGGTTCACCTGTTTAAATTTTTTCTCTGTGCCACCAAAATTACTTTTATTTTGTTGCCAAGAAACAAATCAAAAAAAAAAAAAGTAAATGAACGGGAACAGAAAGGCAAGAAGACAATGAGAGAAACAGGAGTAAATTGCTTTCTGTCAAGTGTTTGCTTTGGGCGATGTGTTTTCTGAGGCAAATGAAACCAGCCGAAGCAGTTTCACTTTCCGGGCGAGGGTCTCAGGCTTTCCTCCCTGTTGCAGGTAAACCGCGCAGACCCACCCTCAGAAAACAAGCCCAACTCAAATACTGTCACCCACTTGGAAGCACTTTTATCACAAAAATTCAAAATAGCAGTGGTTTTTTAAAAATGTTAAATAATATGTGCCAATTATAAAAATCCAAGGAATATCCCAAAGCACAAAGATAACATTTTTCAATTTTTTAAATGATGGGACTGTCACAGACTACCTAATAATAATTCAGCTTTTACTTGCTGATTTATTTTTCATCTCAGTTTAGGATCACAAATACTTTAACAAGTTTCAGGAAACATGATGAAGTTTCCTAAAATTATAACAAGGAATACTTAGAAATAAGAGCCTTGACGTAAATCTGGGGGTTGCATCACGCAGCGTTTTGTAGGTCTGTTTACAATTTTGTGGAGCCCAAGTACACATCACATACTCGCGCGCACACGCGCGCGCGCGCACACACACACACACACACACACACACGCTCATCTGTTAGGACCTGCATCTTAGAGCCACATCTGGTCTGGGCAGACGTGGCTGCCACGATTCAGAATTCGCTCCCAGCGGTTCATTTTTTTCTCCCCAAGTCTGTTCCTCTGTTCCTCCAGCAGGAAAGGACACCAGGTGGCCTGGGTCTTCCTGCGGTCAACACAGGACAAAGCAGGAGGGGGCACAGCCCCTCAGGCTGGGGGCTTTAGCGGTCCAAGCTCCTCCAGCTTTTCTTCCCCTGAGTCCTCAGACATTGTTTGGGATGGAGTAGGGAAGTAGGAGAGGAGATGAGGAAAGACTTCCAATCTAATTATCAAGGAGCATAAAATCTAGTCCAACATTTTGGGCATGAAGTTTATGAAAGCAGCCCCTTTACTGTGAACATACCAACTTCTTTCTTCTAGTGAGCAAATTCAATATTTTTAAGGAGTGTTTTTTTTAAATGCCTCCTTAAACATCTTATTTTTTAATCCTGCAGTTTCCCAGGAGGCTGGTTTGAGATTTACACATTTTTTAATGTTTTTGTTGCCTTCAAAGGCAGACAGGTGAGGAAAGACGAGGTAGATTAAAAGCAGCCCTGGGAGAAAAATCAAATGGTTTGGTACAGATATAATGCAACAGAAGCCACCAGGGTGTCAAGCAAATTACTCTAAATTTTAATTAATGAGTCACAAAAGCCACACCACACGCTTTAAAAATTACCCCTTTATCAATAAGGTGATAATTAACTTTCTCTGGAATTAGCAATTCTCTCAGCCCCGGGCAGTATCCAGCCTAGTAAATTCTCTGGATTGCTGCCAATTTTTAACAATGAGTCTTTTGGCAAACCTACCAGATTTTAATTCAAACATCTATTGTGACATTTTCCAACACCGTTCAAAGATGATTAAGATCACCCACATCATGGAAAAAATTCCGAGGTCGAAAGAGTATCTTGGAATGCTTGGGTTGCATTCGAATCTGTCACTTCTTCTTTCTTTTTCGTTACCTCTACCGCCTCCGTCCCTCGAAGCCTGGATCTGTAAGCACAGCTCTGTGGTGTCTGCTGTGAACCTCTCTGGCGTCCCTACCATAAATCACTGCGGCAAGTCCTGCATTTGTTGGTATGCTCGTACCAAGCCCGGGCACTTCGGCTGCCAGCCCATGGATTTAAGTGTTTCTCTTTGTACTCATCTCGCTTTCAGTTCTGGTGACAGTTTGTTCCTTCAGATTTCTGCAAACTCTCACCTGTGGTCTGTCAGATGCTGAGATTTAAATGGAGTAGAAGAAGAGGAGTTGTGGGTGGGAGGGCCGTTTTGGACGTGCTCTGGGGATGTGGACGTGCTCTGGGGATCTGAGCTTGTTCTGATCGCACGTACTAATGTCTGACGACACAGGAGTGCTGGGCATTTCAGAGCAGCTGCCCCACAGCAACTCCTCACAGACACACGCTCACACACACACACACACACACACACACACACACACTTCTCTGAGCTGCTGGTCACTGGAGGGCGGCATTCAGGGACAGCCTCAGGAGGGACGCTGCTCTTTGGCTTCAGTGCCTGGAAGGCCAGTGATGATAGATGCAAATCACCCCTTCAGAAAACAGACCTCTCGGGAACCAGCAGTTGGCGTAATGGCTATGTCGCTGGACTCCCACATAGTCGACCGTCGTTCGCGTCTCGGACCCGGTGGCTTAAATCTCACGCCGGGCGCGTGTGCGTGCGTGCCCAAGATCCCGAGAGGAGAATGGAGGAGAAGGGATTGCGGCGTGACCACCCCCCTTGGGGGGTGATTTCTCGCTTTCTGTCTCTATGTCTCTCTCTGTCTGTCTGGCGAGTGCACGCGCCCTATAGCGAAAACCTCTCCAAAAAATAAAATAAAATAAAATAAAAAAAGGAAAAAAAAAAAAAAGAAAAGAAAACAGACCTCTCTTCCTTCTGGATCTTCGAACATTAGTACTGTAGGGCTCCAGCTTCTCTTAGCCAGAGCCTTGGCCAGGACCCGATCCTGGTGACAAGGCTTCCTATCGGGCTAAGGGGGCTGTTTTGACACAGAAAAGAATCTCCTTGCCTTTGAGGGGGTTGATGCAGTAGAGACCAGCAGCTTTCATACTTCCAGGAATTAATCAGCACTTTGCAATCAGGAGGGACCTTTGCTGAGGAGATAAAACACCACGTGCTCCTTGGCATGATTACTTCTTGGGCTGCTATTTCAGGACAGAAGGAATTTATGACCCGGTGGCAGTTATCACTTGATATAAGCTGTGAAAAGTCATTGCACCGAGTCCGACACCTGAAGTCCGGGACGGTATTCTGAGAGCCATGCAGACTTCCCCAGAGTTGCCGTTACCAGCCCAGTTGTAGCAGTTGTGTTCTACGGAGTCTGGGACTCGAGAACATCGCCGATTCCTGCATCGGCCTTTAGGGGAAGGTGTAGGGGAGAGCGGTGGTCTTTCTTTCTCCAAATACAGAAGCAGAGGGCTGGAGTTGGCTGTGAGGAGAAAATGAATGTGCCAGGAAAAATAATGTCGACGCCGTGCCTTGTAAAGGTGGTGACAGTATCTGCTGAGCCCTGCAGGGGTGACTCAACTTTTGGGAGCTGAATATCGGGTAACAAAAACCTTGCCCATGTTCTCTTTCTGTGATGATCATTATCCAGCACAAGCTCTCATTCATTCACAGCAGAATTATATGGACATGAACATACGGAAATGAACTGCCTTTACCCAAAGGTGGGCGCTAATTGTGGGGGCAAATGCTGAGCTGGACGAAGCAAGGAATTATCTTGGTTGGATCCAAATCCGGTCAAAGAAAAGTAGTACTGAACAAAAAGGTACTGGAATAAAACACAGAGGAGGGGTCTGTTCTCTCCCTTGCAGTGAGATGGACCCTCCCTTCTAGTG